AAAGCTTGTAGTGCCGTTAGTTTGCATTAAATTTTTTGGCAACTCCCCCTCCTCCCCCCTCCCCCTCTTCTCTGGTTTAAAAACGGCCAAAAGCGAAGAGTGTCAGGAATTATGCTTGTCAGCGTTGTTGTTTTCCCCATACTTTTTACTCTATATTTTTATTCGGCAACATTTTCTGCTTATGTTTTATGTAAAGCCTTAAATGGAGTTTGCAGTGTGCACAACGAGGGGCGGGTGGAAATTCGGACAAAAAAGTTCGGAGGACATGCAATTTGTGTGTTCCAAAGTGGCTTATCACAAGTTCCATTCACTCGCCGGGAAGTTTCAGCTAGTACGCCCCCTCTACAATTTATGACAATGAAGAAAAACCAATTTTAGGAATATGGCATATTGCTTTATAACAGCTAAATAGCATATATGACCTATAGCTGTATTAATAATTTCCAGAATATTATGCTAAAGTAAACCGAGTCCTAAGCCAAATTTAAATTTTAAATTTAAACCCATTCATTTTCCCCATATCAAACAAAGCCGGGCGAACATATTTCATTCGCATTATTCCAACTCTTTGTCTATTTTTTGCAAAGCCCTGTAGACGCGGCGGATCGCATTTTTTTCTTTTTTTAATGCATAGCAAAGTCGAACCACTAAACAGTTTTAAATTTGCATAAAAATCCGTTTTATTAACATTCAAAGGCGATTCCTATCGCCGCTAAATTGAAGAAAAGTAGCTAGAGTTCTGCGAGAGAAACGCGGGGGAAGAGGGACAGAAAGGAGTTCCAAGCAAACAGAGACCCTGAGGGAAAATGCCATGTAAATGCTTTCAGGGCAGGGAAAAAAAAGAGAAAAGTAAGAAAAATTCCTTTGCACTCAACAAAGAAGAAATAAATAACTTTCGAGTCAGATTAGCCAACTTGTCACGAAATGCAAAATGACATTTAATACCCAACGACTTGGACGAGGACACAGACGAAGACGAGGACATGGACTTGAGTGCTCCCAGCTCCTAGCTTCCAGCTCCCAGTTTCCAGCTTCTAGCTCCCAGTTGATGGGCAGCAGCTGCGTCTCGGAACGAAAAAAGGGAGGGGAGGGGGGCGTCTTAACTTGGGCGGCAATCCCAAGACGCATGTCGACCAAATGGCAATGCGATACGCGACGATATACATGACTGGACCTGACTTGCACTTGGCATGAAAACATGAGAAATTCCTTAGCCAATGGCCACCACCATCGTCCGCTTTCCGCCGCTTTCCCCCGCGTTTCCCCCCCAATGGCATGCCAGAACGCTAGACGACAGCGACATTGTTTCGAATGGCCTGGCAAAAGAAGAAAAATGGCTCTGAAATGCCATCACTGCCATCATTCCACCCGAAAAAAACGTATAAAAAAATAAGGACTACGAGAGAGGATGGCGAAAAAGTAATCATTGCAATTTAAAGCGTATAATCTGCATCAGACCGAAGCTGTGAAACAAGAAGCGTTGCGAAAAAAAGGCGAGTGCTCTAAAAAGGGTTCCAGTTTCAGTTGCACACAACGCGAACGTGGGCAATGCAAATATGCTGCGGCGCCCTCGCTTTTCCCCATTTGCCCCCGCTTTTCCTCCCCTTTGCCGGCCCAGCGTGCGTGAGTGGACACCATTTGCAATTTTCGCACTCGCTTTTCCACTCTCTCTCGTGGTTTTTTTCTTCTTTTTTTCGCACGCCCAAGGAGCAGTCATGCAGATTACAATCGAAATGACATGAAAATGTTTAGTGTGGCGTGTGGCAAAAAAAAAAAGGAAAAATCGCGAGGCAATGTCAAGCGGCAGCAGCAAGAAAGTGTTGCATATCTACGGGCGCCAGCCACAAGAAAGAAATTGCCCCGAGAAAATGGAAGGCGGAAAAGTGGCAAGTGGCAAGTGGAAAGTGGCAAGCGCTTGGCACTCGAAGATAATGTCCGGGGATCTCTCCTGGACTGTAAGAATAATGTCTTATTTGATTGTGGCCAGCAAATGCAATTTGAATTTGTTGCCAAAGCCCTTGAAAGATCCTGAATGGCAATGGGAATAACGAATGCCCAATCGATTTATAGACTCATCAATAACGTAGCACTCCGCTTATGCACACTAATAATTCAGTTAGCAATTAACTAACACGATTCGATGGCCATCAGGAGGCAATTAACCCAGTTACAAGGCAACAAGTGAGTGCCAATGAAAAACTGATTTAGCCTTTCATTAAAGCAAATTAGAGCAATAAAATGGAGGAACAGTCAGTCATTCAGCAACAGCAACAGCAACAGCGAAAGATACAAGTGCAGCCATTCAAATAGGTGGCTGTTGTAAAATAAACTCAATCGAAGCATTAAATTACTGCCAACGGCGCCAATAAGCACAAACAAATATGCCAAAGTGGCTCCTACACTCGTGCTTGTTTGTATTTTGTGTATGGTGTGTGTGTGGTGTGTGTGTGTGTCGTGAAAGTCCCGACAGTTACTGATTGAAAGATTTACACGGAGAAGGATGGAGAAAAATATTTGCTTGTTGTCAATAAATATTTTGTGCTGTGTTTATTGATCAAAATTGCGAGCCAACAATGCAAAGTATTTTGTTGGCTCGCCAAATATTTATGCATCGAACGATGAGAGAATCCAAAACATTTGACAATTAATTAGCCTAATTTATGGCTTTGTATCGATAGTTTGTAGTTTAGTTTATTAAAAAGTTTTGGCCCCCACAGCAGCAATTTGCCGTACTTATTTGTCAATATGCTTACACAAATATTTGAGAGAGTCATAACAAAGCAAATAAAAATAAACAGAAATGTTGTTCGGCAACAATTATTTGTGAGTTAGCGCCAGTTGTTGGGCGCCATAAATCTTGTACAGCTTTCAGGGCGTCATAAATTGTAAATGCCATCAACAGCAGCAGCAGCAGGAAAAAAAGGGGAAAACACAAAAGAAGACCAGACCGACCGAAAACGAGTTGGCATGTCTCTGCTACAGTTGCCCTCTCCGTCTCTTGCTGTTTGCTGTCCTGCTCTACTGGCCAGGGCAAACAATCAATTTATGCACACACAATTTTCCCCTTTTACATATAAATTTGTATTTTTATACCCTTGCAGAGGGTATTATAATTTCAGTCAGAAGTTTGCAACGCAGTGAAGGAGACGTTTCCGACCCTATAAAGTATATATATTCTTGATCAGCATCACTAGTAGAGTCGATCTAGCCATGTCCGTCTGTCCGTCCGTCTGTCCGTCTGTCCGTCCGTCTGTCCGTCTGTCAGTCTGTCCGTCTGTCCGTCCGTTTATATGCAAACTAGTCTCTCAGTTTTAAAGCTATCTGCATGAAACTTTCCCAAAAGTTGTCTTTCTATTGCAGGTAGTATATAAGTCGGAACGAGCCGGATCGGACGACTATAGCATATAGCTCCCATAGGAACAATCGGAAAAATAATTGAAAAAAAATTATAACTTTGCCGTTTTTTAATTTTTTGTTTAGTTCTTCGACATATAGCAATGGTTAAATAATTCAGAATTATGGTTTAAATTACATCAAAATCGGACGACTATAGCATATAGCTCCCATAGGAACAATCGGAAAAATAATTGAACAAAAATTATAACTTTGCTGTTTTTTAATTTTTTGTTTAGTTCTTCGACATATAGCAATGGTTAAATATTTCAGAATTATGGTTAAAATTTCATCAAAATCGGACGACTATATCATATAGCTCCCATACAAATAATAAAAATATATAAAAGAACAATCAAATAATTAAGCTGCAAATCGTCATAGCTTCAATGTTTTTAAACATATACGCAAGTAAATCATAATTTTAATGTTTTCAAAAATATTTAATTCTTGCGATAGCTGCAAGGGTATATGAACTTCGGCTTGCCGAAGTTTGCTTTCTTTCTTGTTTTTCTTTACTTTTTTCACTCATTTTTACTCAGCTTCGCCTTGCTGTATGCAAATATTTGTTAACTTCATTTGCTCTGAATTAAATATAATTTACATGCATATTTGTTTGCCAGCAGTCGGCCTGCCCTCGTTTCGCCTGCAAATCCCTTTTCCACATGCCATGTTGCATGCATCGTGGGGCATTAGTCCATTCCCCCTACCGATTTTTCGACTCTTTGGTCATTAAAATTATTGTTGACATTTTGGCTTAAAGCAAGAGAGTGAGCCGCGTTAATGCGCCGCCACAATTACACGTGCTAATGAAGTGAAATTTTTACTTTTTCGCAATTAAAAACGAATTTCGATCTCGCGCATATAGCCCGCAAATATGCTGGTAAAAATGCGGTGCCATGTTTCATGAGCATTCCGGAATACTCGTGATTTGCCCTGAAGGAAAATTGCAACGGCTTTTGCATGCAGTTAATTGGTTTGGGCTTTTTGGGCTGGTCGAAATGTGTCGACAGCACGAACATAAAGTTATTCAGAGCTCTGAGTCATGCCAAGGATAAAAGAAATTACATAGAACTAACTTGCTTTATTGCAGGCAGGGTAATTTTTTTTTAATTGACGCCCAATTATAACAACTTCAATGGTGAAAAGATTGTATTACCCATATGGTACATACTTGCTGATAAATATTGTATATTTTACACAAAGTTCATTAAATACCAAACCCAGAACATCCTTTATGATTGTTCAACAAAACTGAAATGAAACAGTATTTACTCTTGCACATCGAACCCGAAACGACCCAGGCATTAAGGTTAAGCACAACAATTTGTGTTAATCAACCAGCCAGGAATAGAAAACATTAACATAAATTTGTTTCCAGTAATTTATTTAGTGCGACAAAAGCACTTCCTGGCCAACACGCTCACTAAATTGCCACTGCCAGCAATCGAAACTGAATTATGGCCGGTTGCCCCAAAGACTTAACCCCTGCTGGCTGTCAGTCGAGGGCAATTTATGAAGCTTTCCACTCTCTCTACTTTCTCTCTATATAGTATATGTAGTGGAAAAATTTGCTAAACATATTCTTTTTGAATTTTTTCTTTCAGGGACGCTGTAATCGTGATAAACCGCCGTGCAAATATTTTCATCCACCACAGCATCTGAAGGATCAGTTATTGATAAATGGACGCAATCATTTGGCCCTCAAGAATGCACTGATGCAACAGATGGGCATCGCGCCCGGCCAGCCGGTCATATCGGGCCAAGTGCCAGCCGTGGTAAGTGCCGCTCTCTAATACTTTAATTGAATTTCCCCCAGTTCGCCACACCACTTCCGCTGGCAGTTCGGAAATATGAATATTTATAAGCGAACTTCTCCTCTTTTGCCGCGACCATGAATATCCGAAATACCAACCAGAGCTGAAAAAAAACGAGGAATTCAAAGTGCGCGAAAATGAGCCAAAGAGTGAGCAAGAGGAATGTTTTATTCATGCAAAGGGGGTGGGTGTGTGGGGGGGTGAGATATTGCCCGCTTTATAACAAATCGAAAATTAATTCTCAAATAATTTGCGACATGGTTTTTGTGGATTTGCAGCTAAACGACAGGCATCATTAGGGTAAAAGGAAACGGGGGCTCGCGCCCATGTTGATTGTTGAAAAATGCATGAATTTTCATTAGAGCTGGTGTGGGGGGAGGGCTCAAAAAAAGGGTCTACGAGTGCGTGCCAAGCATAATTTGTGCCCAACAAAAGGGTCAGTTCGTGGGCAGTGTGAAGCCTTCAATGGGGTGTCGAACCATTAGGTTAGGACGGGTGTAGGCCATAAATAAAACAGATTTTAAAAGGGGCTTTCAATTGAGCAGTCAGGCTTTTTTTTAAGGTTTCACAAATAAAGTTTTGAGATATTATAGACTAAAAATGTATTACCTTACAGTACAAATGCCAAAAATCTATCGTTACCTAAATATAACCGCCAACATGGTGAATGAGTAATATTATATTTTTAATTTAAAATATTTTTAAACTTTTTAAAAAAGCAACTTTATGCCGCTGTAAAATAATTAAAAATTCTTTCAAGATACAGATCATAATCTGCTATGCTTATCTTTATCTATCTTTAAAAGGAAATTAATATAGCAAAAAGCAGATGACCTATTATGAAACTATTTTGATATCCTATTGGGAAATTAAGACAACATTATCCGTGACGCGTAAACATTTCAAACAAATCCAGTGCGGCGAACTGCCCCCATAATTACTCCCTGTTGTAGTACAACTGTTTGATGAATTGTAATGATAGATGGCCCAATTACCTATCTATTGCAGGCCACAAATCCCTATCTGACTGGCATTCCGGCCAACTCGTACAGTCCGTACTACACAACGGGACACCTAGTGCCCACCTTGCTGGGTCCTGATCCCACGACCGTGGCTTCCCAGCTGGGACCAGTGGTGCCCCAGGCGGTTCAGGTGGCCCAGCAGAAAATACCACGATCCGACAGATTAGAGGTGAGTTTCGGGCCGATGCCGTACTATATATATATTTATATATATATATATATCTCAATATATGTTTATGTATCCATGGAAGTCAATTTACTGCGATTTAATTTACGCTTACGTTGTGTTTATTAATCTTATTTGTTTGTTCGCCGGCGGCGAGACTTACACGCAACGAAAATTGTTTCCGTTCTTACTATATTATGTTTCTTTTTGTGGCATGTATATTATGTATTTATATTTCTAATTAGAATTAATCTTAAACTACGTATACAAATATTGCGAACTAAAAACGAAAACATTGTACAGAGTTTTGAGTTCTCTTGAGTTTGCCAAAATATCAAGCTGAAATTGCGACCAAAATCAACTGTATAATTCGCCAATAACCAGAAATTGATTCGAAAACGTTTTGACACACATTCGTATTTGTCTAACACCGCCAAATTGAAACCAAATATAAAGACACCCAATCTTGATGTTCTCTTCTTTTGATTTCTTAAGCTCTTTTGTATCAATATAATCGAATAATATAAAGGAATTAGTAAGGATCGATCAAGAAGTCGATCGCACAATATTGCAGCTTGGCCTAGCAGTTGCTTTTCAGAAGCTTTTTTAGGAAGCTTTCAAGCCCTGTAAATAGCCCAAGAAATCTATCAAAATTTGCAGAATTCTTTGCACTGATATTTCAGATTTCCTTTTTATTTCCCCTTTTCGGTAAAGTTCTTTTAATTTCCGAATTAAGCGAAAGGGAAGCTCCTACCTATTTCATACCATTCTCCAGAACCCCTATTAGAGTCTTAGAAAGTTCTCTTAGCTCTCAAAAGTAATTCATCGTAGATATGAAGTAAACTATTAGCAGACTTTTCGTATTCCCCTGGGGGACCTTTAGTTCCATAGATTTGGTAGTTGTTAAGCCCTTAATTTAAAGTTTTTTTTCCTTACAAATTCTCGTTACTTATTTCTAAATCAGCAGACACCGAAATACTCTCTACAAACAGTCCAACCCGAGCTCCCCGTAACGTCTTTGTGGTTTTGTTTACTTCTGATTTCGAATAATCCTTGCATTCTCGATGTTCCTTTTCTGTTATGTTTGTGCTACGTGTTACTCTTGTGTTTTCTCGTACTCAAAAGTGCACCAATCTAAAAAAAATGCAAATTAAAAACTAATCGGCATGAAGCAAAAATAAAAACAACACCCAAAAATAAAACAAAGTTAAACCAATTCCAAGAGGCAAGTACTACAGCAAAAAAAATACTTAAAACATAATCAAACAAAAAACCTAACATGAAATGCATCTGTATCGGCTCTAACCACTAAAATCAAAAAAAAACTTGCCTACCATTGGAACGAATCGAAAATATATATGTATATTTTTGCGCAAATACTTAACTTTTCTTTTGATGACAACTAAAACGTAAACCAAATTAATAAATAAAGTAAAAAAAAAACGAAACAAAAGAAATGAAATGAACTTGTTACTGAATATCCTTCCATTATTTCCAAAAAACACACTCCACACACACACATACACCTTCTCCGCCTATAAACACACACACACACCAAACCGAAAACACCACTGAACCACTATGAACCACAACTGCTGCCACTTTTGCTATCCGCTGCCAACGCCCGCCAACCAACCAACCAATCAACTGATACCGATACCGATACCAACAATCGATCAATCAACAATCGCTGCAACTACAAAAATCGATCAATATATCGATCAAATACAAATGCATCTGATAATAACCCCCAATCAAATACCAACCCACCAACGATGATCATCGAAATGCGGGCGCCGTGTTGTGTGTGTGTTTGCGATCGATGGCGATCCATGGCGATGTTTGCGATGATCCAAATGCGCAATATCCGATAACCAAATGCGATAACCGATAACCGAAAACCGAAAACAGATGTGCCGCGAATTCCTGCGCGGCGCCTGCAAACGGGCGGAGTCGGAGTGCCGGTTTGCCCATCCGCAGGAGAGCGTCGCCAGGCACGACGACGGCTCGATTACGGTTTGCATGGACGCCGTGAAGGGCAGGTGCGCACGCGACCCCTGCCGCTACTTCCATCCCCCCCTGCACCTACAGGCACAATTAAAAGCGGCCCAAACACGCGCCACCGCTGTCGCTGCTGCAGCTGCGGTATGGCTATATACTATATATTTTTCTATACTTTTCGAACCTTCTCTTTGCGTTTGCGTTCAATCAATTTTTGCCCATTTTTTGGTTTTATTACTTTCCGTTGACTTGTGTTTTCTTCTGCTGCCTAAATACTTATGGTTTTCATTATTTTTTATTTTCCTGCGAAAATACATTTTTTGTTAAACACGTTTGCCAGACGCTTTCACGAACTGATAACCAAGAAATGTATTGATATAAAGCTAATCTATTTAAAATAAATAAATCAAAACCACAAAAATTTCTAATAACAAATGTGTTGCAAAATAAAAATAAAATACAAATCTGGAAATCAATTCGTGAAATTGTCGCCCAACTAGCGTTTTTTGTTTATGTTCTCCAAATAACCTCAACAAAGAAATACAACACAGAATTTTACTCCTGCACTAACACGCCACACAAATATATAAATATATACCCAAATATCCATGTATATATCTAGCCAAAGATGACCTTAGGCCATCTTGCTTAGTTCGAAATAGTTGATTGAATTTGCCTTAAATTCATGCCAAATTCACCGTTCGATTTTATTGGAAAATCTCGTACTATAGACACATATGGATTTAAAGCAAATTTAATTAGAAGTTAATGCCGCATGCAAACAATTTAATTAACTTTACGCAAACACACACGCCCTCACACATAAAATCTATTTTACAAATAACTGTTATTCTCCCTAAGAGCTGCAAAAAAAAAGTGTGTAATCGTACAAATTTGTAAAACACAAATTATGCTATTTATTTATGCTGCATATTCAATGACATAGCTAGTGGCTATGCAATAAATGCTTAAGCGAGCTCAGCTCGTCCCCCGAAAATATAGAAAAATTCAAATCAATGAACTGAATAATTCTGCCTGATATACGTGACACATTGTGCACTCAAAAAATTTGGAATAAAAACTTATAGAATCCGTGTTACTCATTAGTCATAATAAAAAACAAAAAAAGTTTACAAGTAGAAACATTTTACTAGTAATGTAGTACCAAAATATAAAAAAGTAAAGGCTCATTTAGTTAATAGATAAATGAACTAACAAAAAAAATTATTAAATTGATTAGTTTCACTGCAAAATTAGTTTCAAATAAAAATCTTTTTAGTGATTATTACAATTAAAATGTATAATGATTTCAAATTATTTATTATATACAAAACTTGAAATTTGATCGGAATACATTATATGTATTTGTATTTGTATAGAAATACATAACATTTTTAGTCGAGCTTTAACATGATCCGTTCAATTTAAAATATTGTTTTGCGAAATGCAATTCGTTGAGGCATCAAATAAAATTGTATGGCTAATTGAAAATTCATTTGGCTGAACTTAATTATGTTTGTCCAAGGCAAATGAAATGTTCAATAATCATTTGGTGGGACATCATTCAAACAGGGTGTTCAGCGTCATTTAGATGTTAATTTTGTTTGTAGATCAATAAATAATTATATTTTTAAAGTATGCCTCCCAGACAGAAAACAAACAAAACAAACAGTGTGGGTAGAGAAGGAAGAGCATAATCCTGCCAGGAGAACGAAAAGGGAGAAAATATCCGGCAACACGGAAAATATGTTGAAGCTCACATAAAACACGCCATAAATGTTGATTTTCGTTGGGCCAAAATTAACATTTATTACAACGCGTTAAAACTTTGAGCACGCAGCAGGTAGAGCAGAGGGAGAATGGTGGGGGAAAAGCGAAGGAAAAGCGGAAAAGCGAGGCAGCCGGGCCAACACGGGACAACACTCACACGCTCACACATATGTGAGCACGTACGTGGTCGTATCCGTGTTTCCCGGCTGCGTGTCCTATGCGCCGTACTTAATTCGCGACTTAATTGCTTTCTGCTGGAAATTTATTTGACGCAACAAACAACAACGCGATGTCCTTGTTGGCCTGACTGAAAAACCGGCAGGAAAAAGGGGATAGGGGGGTTGAAAATGACACACATAATTGCAGCATAATATCGCATAAAGTGAAAAATTGTTGCAGCATTTTAGGCGTAATTCAATCGAGTCCCTCCACGTCTCGTTCATCGTTCAGCGGAAGGGCAGGACAAACGTGATTATTGTATGAAAATGTCCTTTGATACCATCCCAAAGGCACACATGCTGACATTCGCCCTCTCCTTTTCCCGCACAGAGCTGATAATTGTATTTATGGGTGCTCGTTTAATGTGATTACGGCCCTGGTAAAAATGGGAATTAAACGCTTACCTTATTGCACCTGTCTACTATAATATACGCCGCAAAGCGTTAATGCTTGGTTATTTTCGTTTATAACCAAATTTAACTTTAAAAAAAGTTTTTTTTTATAAATGTCTAGCGTAAGAATAAAGGCAATAGCTTTAACTCGAGCTATACAAATATAAAACCGATGCAGCGCTGCTGTTTCATTTCATAATTATTTTCATTCCTTTCATATATTTTATATTGTTAAATACCTTTATGTAGACTTGTTTCAAGTTAATATATCCCTTAGCTCTAAATTCTCATGTCCCCTGTATATAACATAAATTGTTTTGCAATCCCTATATCTATAAACTACTCTTCTTAAATGTTACCTTTAAACTCCTCAAAGTTAGCTGATTAACCTTATAACGAGTTATATGCGTATTTATCCTAATATATATACATATCCAAAAAAACCAATCGACAGACGCTACAAGAATCCACACCACAAAAACAGACCCACACACAAAACTTTGCCTTTGCATATATGATTTTCCTCTATAATTTCCCTGTGTTATTGTTGCTGTCACGTTGATAAGCGTTTAAGTTTTGTTTATTATGATTGCTGTTTGGCATTCTGGGTCACCAAATCGACGTTCCCCATATGTCAGCAAACGAAGAGGAGCAAAAAGCCCCATATCGATGGGGGATCTCCCCATGATGTCGATGGCAAATATGCCACCTGCCGCAACCAACGACCCCACAGAACTATAATCCCGGCAATGTAAGCGTGACAAGAGCATCTCGGCCAAGAAAAAAGACCGGAGGAAAAGTGAAATTGAAGGGGAATGTGAATGTGAAAGGGAATGGCAGTCCTCCGCTCTCTTTTTCCCACCAAACTGACCAAAAATGTAAATGTCAACCTGAACAGGACATGGCTACGTATACGTATACGTTATACGTATACGTTATACGGACAGGGACACGGACACGGGCGACATGGATTAGTCCAGGCCGGATAACGTTTGAACCGGAAAATTAACTAAAAGCAGAGATTTCCATGCCAATGAATTGTCCGGCGGAGTCTGCCTGCTGGTTTTTTATGGACTCTCCACTCGACCCCGATACAAAAACACGCTCAGCTATGGGAACATATATGTGTATGTACGAACACCCCACGATGTTGTCGCGCCCAAGCGAATTAATCCATTTGTAGCATTCATTGCCAGTGACACCAGCCCAGAAAAATGTGGGGAAAAAACGAAGGAGTGTCGGGTCAACTGTGCCCATCTCTTTCGCTGTCTCCATTTAAATGCAAATTTGTGCACTCTTTCATGTGTGCCTGTCCTGTGTGCCCCAAAATGTATGCTAAGTTTTTTGCCAGTGTGCCTGTGCTATGTTTGGTTTATTTTTATTTTGTGGTTCTTGGTTATTAGGCACACATGGGTCTACTTTCGTGGTAAAGGGGCGAAAATCGGGCAAAAGCTGAACCCAATTGCGGTGTTAAACGCATTAGAATTGAGCTCTGCAAGAGTATTTATGGGTACGGAAATTGGGGTCGCAACTTTTCCGGGGGCTTAAAACTATACACTCGGGTAAACGATATGGCTTATAAACCAAACTGGGTCATGATGGCTAAATTATAGTAAACAAAAAGTATTACAAATTCCAAAACACTATCCCTAAAATCAAACTAACCCAAAACAAAGTTGTTTAATTTAAATTTCCCTTGAGTTGTCTGAGTTATTTACCTTCTTATGAATAAGCAGCAGCATCGATGCATCGGTAGGTATTTCATTATATAACTTATGGTCCACAAATGCGAATGTGTCTAGTCAAAGCTAACGAATCAATTGGTGAATTGAGTGATTTTGTTGGCAAGCCAATCAATTTGCCATTTCCCCTAAGTTAGAACGTAAGCCGAAAGGATAAGTTTTAGAATATAAGAAAACATGGCTTTTACACTTTGCTGGCTTTCGCAAGCTTTTTTTGAAACGATTCTCTAACCAAACAAGGCTTTCACTCACACGAAACTAACTTGATTTATGCTTCTTTCCAAATAAAAACCAATGAATATTAATCGAAATTATTAACATTTAGTTGGTATGTGTAACACGTTTATTTTAAGGCTCTTTCAATATCAAATGGAAATCATGTTTATTTGGATTACCGTTGATTTCTACTTGATTTATTCATATTTACTCTCTATACGAATATAATCTATATATACGTAAAATTTGATTTTTTTCTATTTATTTACTTATCGATATCAAAACACTTCCGTACTCTTCTACTATTATGTATTTTTCATCTGTTCGCCTGTGCCAACACACACACACACCCCAAAAAACACACACTGTAACTGCTTCTACGATGGATGGTACGAACACAATCAAAAAACAAACACATACACACATATGCACAAAACACAAATACGAAAACAAACAAAAAAAAAACAAAAATGTGAACTCAAACATATGTAAATTCACCTTGCATAATTTTATGGAAAAAAATTTGAAAAAATATACAAAACTGGACACGCTAATTAATAATTCATGAAAATCGGAAACGAAACATAAAAAAATTTAATTCGAATTGGAATTTCTCAACCATTTATTAACACATGATTTAAATGCCTGTATATTTTATTAATTTTTGCATATTTGCCTGCCTGAACTTTTGGTTTGGTTTCAATTTTCAAAAAATTTTTTCAAAATGTTTGACGAATACAAAAACGCACAACACGACACACATACGAACACACACAGACCTCACCTCTTGCGGCACACCATCACCAGCAACAACAACAACAGCAACAACAATTGCAACACCAGCTGAACAACATGAACAACAACCACAGCACCGCTGGCACAGCAGCCACCTCGACAACAGCAACAACCACCACAAACAACGCCGCTGCCGCCGCCGCCGCTGCTGCCGCCGCCGCTGCCGCCGCTGTCATGGGCCATCACACACTGGAAGTGGGCAAGAAGCGGGCGGCGGACACAACCGATATGTTTCCACTGGTATTTTTCTTTTCCTTCACTTTGTGTTTTTGCATTTTTCGGTTTTTTCGATTCACGATTTTTGAATTTTAACTTTTGTTTTTTTTTTATCCTAACTAATTGATTGCCTTAATTTTGACAATCGTAAATGCTTCTGTTGGTTGTTGAACAGTTAGTTAAGCCTTTTTCGTTGCATGCTTTAAGGCGGGCTAATCCTTTCAGGATCTTAAAAATAAAGATATATTTTTAAGCAGTAGTTATAAAACAATTGGAGTTATTTGGTGCTGCTTTGGTGTACATAACATATATTTTTCCATCTAAAGAATTTTATAAGTAACCAGGGAATAAATTAAAAAAAAAACACTGAAAGTTTTTTTTATTCCAACATAAATACAGTTTATACTCTACATTTTATTAATTGATTATTTGAAAACTTAAATAACTCAAATCTTTGAGAACTCATCATATTAAAACAAAATTTGAGACATTAACTGTGTAATCAATTAAAAATGGTTTTCTCTATTATCCCTTTCACTAGAGTTCTTTAGAATTCAAATTTTAAGTGATTAAAAGCCGCAGCAAAGCGCCATTTACTCCAAACTGATCAGGACTAACCACTGTGATTATGAACCTACCGTATACAATCCCCAGATCCAGACCCTTGCTTTCAACTTTCACCTTACCTACCTTAGGTATTCATTCACTCAATCACTCACTTGCCCACCCACTCAGTTAGTCAGTCACATGCACATCAAAGTGCCATCAATTAACGTTTATTATCAGCATGGCCAGGTCGGCTGGGGATGCAACCCCGGCATTTAATTTACAAAATGAAGTCATTATACGATATATCAAAAGCGCAAACACTTACCAACGCACACACATTCGCACACAGGCACACTAATCAATGCACACTCACTCAAACAGACCCAAACACACACTTTTTGCAATGGCAAGAGCGAGTTGAACCAATTACACGTGGCATATGATAAATCACAATCACAACACGAGCACATTTGCCCTGCCAAGTGTTAATTAAAATGATTTAACCGATAATTGCCAAGGCTGTATAGCTGTATCTGTAGTCGTAGCTATACCTTTAGCGGTAACTGTAAGTTCTTTCTTTCGCTTTTGCCTCTGCCGCTGATTGCATTTCGCGAGCTTAATTGTTTAAGTGCTTTTCCTGGTTAATTAGCTGAACATGCACCACCGGCAGCCTGCAGACATTGTTTATCCCGCCCCCGTTTTCCGTTTACATCACGCCCACACATCACATCGCATCACATTGCCACCTATTAGGACTAAGTATCTGTGTACCCGTTTATGTATATATGTATCTGATTAATGCCATAATGCCCCACTGTACTGTACTGTGCCCAGGATATATCCACTAATTTCATTTGTGTTCTTCTCTCCTCTTCATTTGCTCTTCTTCGATTCCATAACCTCTTGCGTTCGTTTCAAAACTCCACCACCTATCTCACTATATCTCGAAATCGAAATCGCAATCGAAAACGAAACAATAATAACTGCGAAATGTGTGTGTGCTAACCCCCGTTACGATCTGATCATCAATCAAACAATGATAACCCAACAATCAACTACAAATCATACACTAACCGCATAATCAACAACAATCGATAAATGCCAAAAAAGATGGATGTTAAAACGGTTGGTTCATTTTACTATGAAAACTTCGTAAGTACTCCAAACTGAATGACAATCGCCACGTACCACGTACAGTAGTCAGCTATAGAAAAATCGATCAACAATATATACACATTATAAAGACTACTGCCTGAATAGCCATAACAAGCGATAAATATATATATATATATTCAGACAAGCTACTAACCAGCTGATATTTCAATGAACGCCGCATGCACTCAAAATCCATCGAATTTAATAAATAAATCGTGGCCATTGGTCTGCTTCTTAAAAATCTATATAATTTTCATAAATATATAAAAAAAACATGATGACATTTAAGTTGATCGAAAGGACCAACATTTCAGAGATATAAAAGCTTATACGCACACACAAAATATCATATCGATCGGTAAAAAAGTCTCAAAAAAATTAATCAATTAAATCAATAACACTAAAAGCTTATTCATTTCACTTAGAAATAAACTGCGAACGCTTTTCCCCAATTTTTCACCGAACTGCACGCACTTTCAATTCATTCAGTTGCAAACTGTACTCTGCCTATGTTTAGTTTTCGTTATTCTATTTCTGATTTGATTCAGTTTGAAGATATATTAAGTTTCATATTTCGTATGATTTGGTAACTTTCACCCCAAAAAATATAGAAATAGAAATTGGCGATAAAAAAGCAAGCAAAGCGCAAGAAAAAAATAAGAAACTCAAAATTAACCAAAAACCAAGCTCGTTTGTAAGCAATTGTTATAGTGTATATGGTTACCAAAAGTAGACTAAGTTGAAAGCAAAATGGAAACGATGATGATACTAATGAATTTTTCTTCTTTTTTCCATCTCTTTCTTTTTTTCTCCAATCGTCTCTTTTTTTTAGCAATTCTCTGGCATGGTACCGTTCAAACGTCCAGCTGCCGAAAAGTCTGGCATTCCAGTTTATCAGCCCGGTGCGACCGCCTATCAGCAGCTAATGCAGCCCTATGTGCCAGTCTCATGTGAGTATCCCCAACAACAACAACAACCACAACAACAACAACAACAACTACATCAACAACAACAAAATGTACTACTACAACAACAACTACAATTAAGTAGCGCCATAACAACAACAACTACAACAGCAACAGCCAGTAATAATATGATTAATATTATTAATAACAATAAAAGTACCATAAATGCTGTAATTGCTACTACCAATATACCATCATCAGCAACAGCAATAGCAACAACAACAGCATCAGAGTCATCATCATTATTATCATCAGCATTAGCAACAACAACAACAACAACAACAGCCATTACTAATCAAGATAACGATCACAATCCCGATAACGATAACGACAACGATAGCCCTGCTGATGCTGACACTGATAATGCCGATCGCAGCGATGCCATTGATCAAGCTAGCAATCAAGACAATAATAGTGACCAAACGAATCTGAATTTGAATCCGAACCAAAATCCAAGTCCCTCGAACGATTGTAATACAACACGAACAATCTCACCAAACCCAGAAACATCTGTAGCAGCTACAGCAGCAGCAATAGCAACAGATACATTAGACACTGCTACTGCCCCTGCAGCAGCATCTGCCACGCCCCCCAATGGCAATACACCACCGCCCCCCGCCGATTCCCCGCCAGGCGATAGTCTTTTGCCCCTGCCCAATGGCCTGGGCGATAATAACAATTACTTGTCCTATATCAATAACAATCTGAAGTCGGCCAATCCCGAAGAACTAAATGGTGATTTAGAGAATAGTAGCCCAGCAGCAACATCCGCATCTCGCAACTATGCCAAGCAGAATGGCGATGGCTATTCGAGGTACACCATTAATGGTCACAGTACTGGCATTCTGCCCACACCCACTACATCTGCTCCGGCAGTTTCCTATCAGTCACAGGCTCAGGCTCAAGCCCAGGCACAGGCTCAAGCTCAAGCCAATTTGCAGCGCATTAATTATGCCATGCCCGCCTATAGCTATGGTAATCTGTACTCCCCCTATGGAGGAGCCACCTCCACCATGGTTAGTCTGCCCAGCAGCACACCCTCCTATGCTCAGGCTCAAATGCAACAGCAGCAACAGCAGCATCAGCAACAGCAGCAGCAACAACAGCAGCAGCAACAGGCCCAAGCTCAAGCCCAAGTTCAGGCTCAGGCTCAGGCTCAAGCCCATGCCCAGGCAGCCTATGCCCAGCACGCCTATGCCGCCTATGCTGCAGCCGCAGGTTTAACCCCTCAGGCTTCCACTGCTGGAGGATACTACACCACCGATCCCGCTGCTTTGGCCAAGGAGGTGGCCCAAAAGAACTATGCCCTCAAAGTGGCTAGTGCTGCCTCCAAGCCCGGAGGAGCCTCCTCGGCGGCAGCAGCCTACACTGGCTTAACCCTCAACAAGAGCTATGTGCCAGCTGCACAACCATCTGTGCAAGCACCTCAGCCTCAGGCCGTTTCCATGGCAGCTCTACTGCAAATGCAGGCTCAGGCTCAGGCTCAAGCTCAAGCTCAAGCCCAGGCCCAGATGCGCCAGTTGGGTTCTCTGCCCAATTCCGGACTTACTACCCCAGTGCCTGGCACTCCGGTGCGTTCCACACCAGCTGGATCAGTTAGTGCCAGTCAATATCAGTCGGCTGCCCTGCTAAGAGCGCCCTCACCCATGCCATATGCCCAGGCTCAAGGTTACTTCTATCCCGGCATGTTGCCCACGACAGCCTATGCCATGCCTCAAACTCAGGCTGCTGCTGCACAGCAATACGCAGCAGCTGCTGCAGCAGCCGCAGCAGCAGCAGCAGCACAGGGAGGAACTCCAGGCAGTGCCATGGTCCTGAATCCCTACAAAAAGATGAAGACCTCTTAAGAAACTGACTAACTACAAACCCAAACACAACTGTACTTAAGACACCCAGCCATCTAACAGATGAAAAGTCACACTTAATTAGATTCGTAGATTTAAACACATCGAAGACGTAAGATTATGTGCCTCAGTTTTCTTGGAAAAGGACAAGTAGAGAGAAAACCGACCTTAGTTGTATAATAGGCCTCATAGCGATAGAAAAACGACGAACCATGACACGATAACACTAAAATCAGACCGACAGCGAGACAGATCGAAGATCATCGAAGCTTACTAACACGAATGCCCAATTCTTGCTGATAATTTGCCATTAAGTTATTTAACAAAACGAAATACAACCTCACTGTGACTCCAAAGTGTTGCCATTTTCGCACAAGAATCGAAAAAGGATGCTTTCAAAGCACTAGCAAACAGAAGAGAAGCAGATGTTAGCTGATAGTAATACTTAAGTTCCTTTTTTCGGATAGCACTTAGTCAACACTAGTTTAGAAAAAGGAGGGCGGGAAAAGAGAGGGGAAATAAAACACAACGACGTATAACTGTGATAGCGAAAAAGCTTTGAGGGATCAAAAAGTTAATGCCATGGGCTAAAAGAAGAACAAGCCCCTTAACTGCTGCCGATGCTGGGTACAGTTGTGATTGCTTGTTGCTAGCTGCGGGTGCTTAATCCACATCGCCGGCCCTGTCTCGTATAGCTATCTCTCTCGATCCCGCTCACCATCCATTTTCCGCGCTCTCTCTCTCTCTAACAACCTATCGCTGTCTCTAATTGTTTCCTAACTATAACTAGCTAGCTAGCTAGAGTGAATGCTGTTGTAATTGTTTAAAATTGTTGAGCAACGATAAATGCGTAACGAATATTGTCTAGTTTATATAGATTACTTATACGATATACATATATATACCTAGCTGTACGTGCTGTATGCTGCTACCCATATACAATACGATATATACACCCACACTATGTACTCTAACACACGCTCATCCTTCACCAAACCAAACACCGAAAAACAAAAAAAATGGCATAAACATGACCAGGATCGATCTGTAAATCATATGTCTAGCTTACTAATCAGATATTACAATACAATCACCACCCACTATCAAGTCTCTCTATCCGCATTAATATAACACACACACCAAAACACCCGTACACCTTTCAGACTGTTAAGCCAGCAAAATTGATTTATGTTAATGTTATGTTATCGAGATTTAAATTTGATGTGTTGACCAGAACTATGTAATTTCTTTTGATTTTTAACGACTTTCTCCCACACTCTTCATCTGTCTCTAAAACCCACTCTATCGCCCACTCTTTCGATGTATTATAAATGTTTTCCTTTCTGTAAACGAATTGTTAAGCAAAGAATAAAATCATTGACAAACATAACTAAGTTTTTAATGTTAGATCTCGTGTGATTATCCGTTTTTCCTTTACTTCCTTTTCTATGTAATTTTTACGTTGATATTTATGTACTTATAAACCAGTTTTTAGTGTAGTTATTATATAATTTTAAAGTGTGTTCCCGATTGAGAAATATTTGAGAAGATTCTATAACAAGATAAAATTGCCACTGACTTGCGCACCTTAAGTTTTAGACTCCCCCGCCTACATCCCCAGCACCCGCAAAAACTCCTCATCCGAGAACATCCTACATACATAACTATTCGATATATACGATAATCTCTGTAAAATTGTTTTTAATTAAAGTACTTCTAATGTTTTACAACGATTTGATGTTTGCCACTAATTCTTATCCTAATTCTAATCCTTATTCTAGTTTAGTTTCGATAGTTTTTATTAATGTTTTATTTAAAATACCGTGTGTTTATCTAAATATATAGTTTACGAAAAAACAAATATATATATATCTTATTGTGTGTTGGTATTTTACTTTATTTGATTTACTTATTTCGGTATTCACTTGATATTCGTTTTCTGTTGTGCCGCTTTTACATCTCACCTCTGATTTAAATGTACTCCATTGATATATGGACTTTATCAGATGCCGATCCACAAAACCACAAGCTTTGCCGAGCGCTTTTGGGCAGAGCAGCACTCTTATAATCAATCTATATCCCTTCCTAGAGCTTGGCGAATTTTTGATTTTTAGTTATATAGAAATATTTTTTTATGATCGCTCATTCCCCCGCTAAATATTTCTCACACCTTCACAGAAACACCCACATAACCTTAGGACTGCCCGACTTTTCTTCTTTTTGACCTGCTTCCCTTACTACTGCTTCTTCCCAAAGCAAAACCCGTAATCCATCTCATCCTATATATGTTTTAGCTCTTAGAATAATGGCAAGCAAAATGAGTACGCTAATGGTAGAGAATTAGTTGTAAAATCTGAATATACTATTTATCTTAACTACGGCCAGCTAATGCTTGGCTTACTCTACATACTCGTTAAGAAAGATGCTTACTAAACATGACAGCCGAATACAATACTATATATACGAATAGAAAACTAAACCAGATTAAAATATACCTATATCCATCATATATCTCAATGTCTTGCCTAAAAGTATGATAACATTATCTATATGTGTCGTATGGTTAATTTTTTCGTTGACAATGTAGAACTGTTGCCGTTGGTCAATAAATTCAGCAAATGAAAAACTATGCAAATTGTTTAGAAAACGCTCTCAAAATAACTAAGAACTAAAGCAAAAAAAAAAAAAAAAAACGAAAACCAAAACCAAAAACAAAACACCACTCACCACTGCATGGCGCCAAAATATAACTGACTTGCATTTCAGATCTAAGAGCTCATAATTTATTCCGCTTCTTTTCCAACTTAGCAATGCACCAAAAACACAGCAACAAACAGACAAACAACAAAAACAGTATGTTAACATTATCATGCAATAATAATTGTCAGTTGACACTAGAATAACAATGAGTTAGGCTGATTTTCGATATACAAAAAAAAGAAAGAAGAAAAAATAATAAAAAAAAAAACAACCACTTAGAAAACCACAGTCCATTCCAATATAGTCAAGTGGGTTTTCAAGCCTTCTTCAATAGACAGAAGTACTGTACCGTCCAACAGAAACTATAGTTTAGTGGAATCCACCTAGTTGCCTCTTTTTAATTTGTAGCCAGCCCAAAATCTCACACACATTACACTGAGA